ACAACAGTGACAACTGTGACAAAGGTGACCACACTGACAACGGTGACAACGGTGACAACAGCGACAACGGTGACAACGGTGACAACAGTGACAACGGTGACAACGGCGACAACCGCGATAACGGTGACAACGGTGACAACAGTGACAACGATGACAACAGTGACAAAGGTGACTACGCTGACAACGGTGACAACAGTGACAACAGTGACAACGGTAACAACAGTGACAACAGTGACAACAGTGACAACGGTGACAACGGTGACAACAGTGACAACGGTGACAACGATGACAACGGTGACAACGGTGACAACGGTAACAACAGTGACAACAGTGACAACGATGACAACGGTGAAAACAGTGACAACAGTAACAACGGTGACAACAGTGACAACGGTAACAACAGTGAGAAGGGTGACAACAGTGACAACGGTGACAAAGGTGACAACGGTGACAACAGTGACAACGCTGACAACGGTGACAACGGTGACAACGTTGAAAAGGTGTCAACGGTCACAACGGTCACAAAGGTAACAACAGTGACAAGGGTGACAACAGTGACAACGGTGACAACGGTGAGAACAGCGACAACAGTGACAACAGCGACACCACTGACAACTCTGACAACAGCGACAACAGTGGTAACAGTAACAACAGCAACAAGAGTGAGAACCGAGACAACAGTGCTAACAGCGACAACAGTGACAACAGTGAGAACAGCGACAACAGTGACAACAGTGCTAACAGTGACAACAGCAACAACAGTGACAACAGTGACAATGGTGCTAACAGTCACAACAGCGACAACAGTGACAACAGCAACAACAGCAACAACAGCAACAACAGTGACAACAGCCACAACAGTGACAAGAGCGACAACAGCGACAAGAGTGACAAGAGCAAGAACACTGACAACACTGACAACAGCGACAACAGTGACAACAGTGACAACAGCGACAACAGTGACAACAGCGACAACAGTGTCAACAGCGACAACGGTCCGAACAGTGACAACAGCGACAACAGTGCTAACGGTGACAACAGCGACAACAGTGACAAACAGTGACAACAGTGACAACAGCGAGAACAGTGACAACAGCGACAACAGTGCTAGCAGTGACAACAGGGACAACAGTGACAACAGGGACAGGAGTGAGTACAGCGACAACAGTGACAACAGTGACACAGCAACAACAGTGACAACAGTGAGAACAGTGAGAACATTGACAACAGCGACAACAGTGACAAACGCAATAAAAATCAATCAATAAAAATCTTAAGTTATGTTCTAGCCTAGCAGACACAGAAGGAAAAACAAGTAAAAATATTTACTTTTTATGAAACTGAACCCCCCCGTAATTTCAACGACCCCCCGCCCCCCGAAAAATTGGCCCAGCTCCAACTGGGAATGACTTAGGACATTATATGATGTCTTACATGATGTACATACTATCAAAATTCGAAATCATCGTTTTGATGCTAGAAGTAAACTTTGTCAATGACTAAACATGTGCAAGAACGCCCCAGAAACCGTACTGCGAATAAGAAAAATTCAAGTTTTGAGCTAAAAATGGGCTAAATCTCAAACTAAGTCTGCTTTATTTTTCACTAAGTATTCAATATTTATAGTGGAGGTAAAAAGCGGGAGATTTATGTACTAAAGCGGGAGAGCGGGACAGGAGGCAAAAAAGCGTAAGTCTCCTGCCAAAAGCGGGAGAGTTGGCATCACTGCACTACACTAGTCTACTAGGAAAATTAATAGTGTAAAGTATCTTTCTCTGCCATTCACACTGTTTGAACCTTACGGAGCTGTATTTATCATGAATTCAAAGATACATTTGAGGAAAAATAGCTCAAACGACTATTTCAAAACCATTTCGCATTATTTTCATGTTTGTTCAATCTCGGGCTTTATCATGAGACCGCTCGATTAACAGACTGGTCTTCTTCTTCGCTGCTCTCGCAGAAATTCAGGTCACTGTTCTTTCTGTGTTAAACCTTCAACGGCAAGGATTTCCAGCCACTTGTCTAATCGGGCAGTGTTGTGTTTGCAGCCTGCTGTTATTTGCCTGAGAAATACTTTGCGATTCGCCAAAGTACAATAAATAGAGGATGAATAAAATGAGCCCAAGTCGCTGGACGTGTTGCCTGGAAACTCAAAGTACACGATGACATCATGTTGAATGGCATCTTTAGGATTTGTTTATCGCCTGTTGCTAGGCAACTGCGGATACCAAACCGATAGAAAGATTTACGACCAAAGCGAAATCGCAGTTCGCTTGCGATCCTCGCATGCGTGCGACAAAATTATAAACTCGCTTTGCTCGCGCCCTACCGGCCGCTCGTTCCTCGAGAACAAAACCTTTCTTTCACGTCGCCGACCGTACTTTTACCCCTGTCAGGGCAGAAAAAACAACTTCTTTTGAAAAACTAACTAATGAACCATCCTAATTTGAAGAAAAAATTTTAATGCTATTTTCAAAAGCTGTTAAAATCGAAAAATGTGCAGCTTGTCACATTCATAGTCAAGGATTATGTTACATGTGAATTCATGTGGAACAATCTTTGAACATCAATGCGCGCCTAGCGCCCAATTTACATGCAACAACATTTTCTTTTAAACAGCGGGTGCCGTAAGCTGGAGCACAGCCTTGACTTTTTCCTCTTCTATGCGGTAAGCCTTGCTGACGCACTATCTTTTTTCTGCTTGTTCAATCCAACCTGACTTACACGTGATTCGAAGTTGCAGCCAATAAAGATCACACAATTTTCCGGGACGGGCACGGAATACGGGAAAGTAGAAAAGTTAGCACTTCATTTACACTGCAATAATGGGTTTTCCAAAGCACTCGCGTGACAGTCTTGTGTATCATTAATTCCATATTAGGAAGTAAATTTTGATTGGTTCTCCAAAAAAACCCAGCTGCATTGGCTTCAGGATTATTATACGCTTCTGTTCCAATAAAATTGGAAATATACAAATTTAGTGCACAGATGAATTTAGGAGAGCCCAAGGGGTCTGTTACTGCTTTCCTCTTCCTTTAATTTGCATCTGAAATAGTGTGGCATTGTTTTTGTTTTGTTTTTGTTTTTTATTACTTTGCCATTGCGTTACTAGGAGCTGTCAAGTTAACCTTTTTTTGATTGGATTACAGATAATTTGCTTTTACTCTTAATACATGTATTTTAGATGTTATTATAGTAAACGGAATGATGTCAATCAAATTGTCGGTTCTTATCTTGAACAGAAACAATGAACAGATGTTACTGATGTATTTTAGGTTTGCAAGCTCACGCGATATATTCAGATGTAATTAGCTTTTGTACGGAATGGGTCCTTTCTGGAAATACAGTACATCACTTTCGAAGGAGTTCGATTTATTACTCATTCTCAACACAAATTTGGTCCTTCGAGCTGGATAGGGAGGCGGATACGGAGCCGGATTCAAGGAATGAGGACAATCATCTCTGTGGATGTAATCAGCTTTTGTACTGAACAGGTCCTTTTTGGAAATACCGTAGATCACTTTCAAAGGAGTTGGATTTATTACTCATTCTCAACATAAGTACTCATTTTAGCAATACTTTTAAAATCTGTCCTGTATTATTCCTCCCACGAAAATGAAAGGCTGACAAAACTTACCACATTTGAAACAAGGTGCAAAAGAAGATCAAAATTAGACACCAAAGCGTCACACAAATGTTCCTTGGATTTCTCAGTGTGCCTAGCTGGCAGGGTATTAAAAAACCTTCCACAAGAGCTAAATGGAAAGTCTCGACCCTGCAAGAAACAAACAAAAGAGAAATAATATTTTATAAAATGTAATCAGTGTTTAACGCCATTGGAAGGTGAATAAATAGGACGTTAAGTCACAATCAAGAATTTATTATTTGAGCAAATCGTAGGGTGTGGAAAATCTTCATCTAAAGATTGGGGTTCTGGCATCAATGCAAAAATAAGCTTGACATAAGAGGTTCCAAGAATCTATAATTAATAATAATAGATGAGAAAATTATTTACTCATATTCAACAGACTACGTGTATTCAATTTGATATTCACTCACGTACTGCAGAAACCAATATCTACAGATTCCAGTGGAATCCAGTTACTATGGAAACCAAAGAAACATGCCAAAGTGTCTAATTAATTATTTGGCCACCCCAGGGGGGGGGGGGGGGGGGGTACCCTGGATCTCAAGGGACAGGNTGTGGGGCCCCCCCGGGGGGGGGGGGGGGTGGGTACCCTGGATCTCAAGTGACATGGATGATTGAATGGGGGCAAAAATCAAAACCCAAAAAAACCTAAAAAAATCCCTGGACCAAAAATTAACCCCCCAAAATCCCATGCTGAAGTTATGAGCCATAAAAATGTATTTGCGGAACTATGTGCCAGGAATATGTGGAAACTATTACAAAATCTTCAGATTGTTTTGAATACCCAAAAAAATCCCTTCGTAAATCAAGCTACCTAAAAAATACTTTCCAAAATTTTCCAACCCAAAAAAATCCTTCGATCATCCCTGCCACTTGAAACCTGGAGTACCCTCCCCCACCCCACCCCCTGGGATATGTACATGCCGCCTTTCAGAATAAAACTGAGTAAGTCACAAACACACCATTTGTCTTCAATGTTGATACAAAGAGAAAAGTATAATTTAATGTAGCTC